TGGTCAGGGCACATGCAAGAATCAATGAATGGCCCTAGCTGGTTTTGCTCAGTGGGTAGAGCATTGGCCTGTGGACTGAAGGGTCCCAGGTTCGATTGCGGTCAAGGGCATATACCCGGGTTGTGGGCTTGATCCCCAGTAGGGGGCATGCAGGAAGCAGCCAATCAATGACTGTCTCATCATTGATGTTTCTATCTCTCTCTCCTTCTCCCTTTCTCTCTGAAATCAATAAAACTACATTTAAAAAAAGAGAAGAGAATTAGCTTTAAAAAAATCAATAAAAAATATTTTTAAAAAAAGAATCATTGAATGAACGCATAAATAAGTGGAACAACAAATTGATATTTCTCTCTATCTCCTTTCCTCTCTCTCTAAAAATCAATTTAAAAGAATTTAAAAAAAAGAAAGAGACACTGGGAGATTTGACAGACAAGAGAGGAGACACCGAGGGGCAGTGATTAGAGGGATGCAGCTGCCAGCCAAGGATGCTGGGAGCCACCAGAAGATGGAAGGGGTGAGGCACAGACGGTCCCTTGTGCCCTCAGAGGAGCCTGGCCCTGCCAGCACCTTGATCTTGGACTTCTGGTCTCCGGAACTTTGGGAGAATAAATTTCTCTTGTTTCAGGCCACCCAGTTGTGGTAATTGGTTATGGCATCCACAGGAAGCCAATACAGGTGATATACACGTGTGGTTCAAGTCTCAAAACAACCTAAAATGTAAACATTGAGGAATCTAGCTTTTCTAGGTAACCGCTTTTATTAGGTTCTTCTTTACTTGTCCAGGGTTCTTCACAGAGATATGAGAGCATGTTTCTGCCATGTTTAAGAATGATATTTTAAATATCTGCCTGTGTCACTCACTATACTTAGATATGCACTCACTCGGCCTGGCCCCTGGACCCCTGGGCCCTGGCCCTCACCCCCCACTTCACTCCAGGCTGCAGCACCCCCACCCCATTTCCTTGCATGAAGATCCCACCCTCCTCCTGCCTCAGGGTCTTGACTCCCCCCCTTGCTCCAGCCTGACCCTCAGACCCTTCAGTCCCCACTGCCTTCCTGTCATCAGTTCTCACTGAAAGGTCACTCCCCCGGGAAGCCCTCCCTGACCTCCCAATTCTAATCCTGTTACTCACTGTGGCACTTGGGTTCATTTTCTTTCTTGCCATTTGTTGCAATCTAACATTATCGTGACCACGTGTTGGTTTTCTTGTTTGTGTCTGTCTCCCTCTCCAGCGGTTCTCAACCTGTGGGTCGCGACCCCTTTGGCGGTCAAACGACCCTTTCACAGGGGTCGCCTAAGACCATCCTGCATATCAGATATTTACATTACAATTCATAACAGTAGCAACATTACAGTTATGAAGTAGCAACGAAAATAATTTTATGGTTGGGTCACAACATGAGGAACTGTATTTAAAGGGCCAGAAGGTTGAGAACCACTGCGAGTCTAGACTAAATTTGAGGAGCTGGAATTTGGTTTGTTTACGCCTCCATCCTGGACCTTAAACAGTGCCTGGCACATAGGAAGCCCTCCGTAAACATTTGTGGAATACAGAGATTAAACCTAAAGGCCGACCACTTTCTAGGAACTGGGGCGCACACTAAAGGAGGGTTCCTAGAGTCCACGGACCCTCTAGTACAGAGGTTCTCAACCTGTGGGTCACGACCCTTTTGGGGGTCGAATGACCCTTTCACAGGGGTCACCTAAGACCATCGGAAAACACATATATAATTACATATTGTTTTTGTGATTAATCACTATGCTTTAATTATGTTCAATTTGTAACAATGAAATTGGGGGTCACCACAACATGAGGAACTGTATTAAAGGGTCGCGGCATTAGGAAGGTTGAGAACCACTGCTCTAGTATATTGTGTTTTGTGTGGACATGCATGATTTTCATGGAGATGGTTGACAGCTTTTATTAGATTTTCAAAGGGGTCCTGACCCCAAAGACATGGTGGGGTCTTGAAATCAGGGCTTGGTTGTGCAGGAAGGGAAACAAGCTTAAAAATTCAGTCCCCAAGGCCCACTGGGGGACTGGGGCATATGTAGCCAGCCTGGAGGGAGGAACCTACGGAAGCCAGGGCTACTATTTGTAAATCTCACGGGCAGTGGAGGAACCAGGGGAAATGAAAAGGCTTTCACTTCAGCAAGGGAAGGACCTCCACCCTGACCGAGACCATAGCGATGACTGGGGAGGTGGGGAGGTCCCTGTCACTGGAGGTATGCAAGCACATGTGCATGCCTCTCTGTCAGAAATGGTTCTGGGATGATCAGGCCAGGGAAACACACTGTCTTGGGATGTAGGAGTGTTACATGGTCTGGGTCAGAGGGGACAGTCTCTAAGTTAACGTAGCTGAGGGTCCTTCCAGCCTTCCACAGGCTAGAGTACACCTGACATGCCTCTATCCCCAGAGTGAGTTCATCGAGTGCCATTCCCATATTTCACATACAAGGAGCAAGTCTGGACTAGGTTGGTTTCTACTTTGCCTGCTCCCATGACCCTGAGAGGGGCGGTCTGGATGAAAAATGCAAGGACAGGCCTGGATCCCCTTTTTTGGCCACTATCCTTTTGTAGCAATGACCTTGGCTTACACGGGCTGCCAGCTGGCCAGACTGTCCTCCTCTGGCCTCCCTTGGCTTCCTCACGGTCAGCAGCTTTCTTTTAGGACCAGAGCATCTCATTTCACATCCTTTATCTGGATCATCAGACCACATCCTACAGCAGTTTCGGGGTGCCCTTCCTGCTGTCTGCTTCTGAGAGAGGCAGCTCTCAGGGAGCCCAGAAGCCTTCTCCTTGAAGCAGGAAAAAATCTCTACTGAGTCAGGGGTGCCAGTTTCCATGGGGCACACCAGGAGGCAGGAGATGGCCCCTCCAGAGAGGCTGTTGGCTCCGGGGCTCGGATTGGACAATGCTGTCTTCGGGCTTATATGGGAGATGGCTGGCCTGGGGCTAGGGCTGGTGCTTGCTTCCTAATGCAGCTGCTTAGCACTTACAGGACCCCAGACACATGTATAATGCTCTGAACTGCTCTCCATCTGCACCAGGACAACAAGTCTCACAAATCTCTGACTCTCACAAACCAGATTCAAAGTGTCAGGCACAGAGTAAGAGCTCAGTAAACAATAGGTGTATTATTACTACTATTATTGTTTTAATAGGTATTGCTTGACCTCTCTGGGCCTTGGCAAAAGTATGATGACGATATGCATCTCAGAGCAAGGATTAAGTGAGGTCGTGGGATGAAAAGTGCATTTTGAGATGTACAATCCTCACCAGGAATGACCAGTTGCTATGATAGACACTGACCACCAGGGGGCAGACACTCAATGCAGGAGCTGCCCCCCTGGTGGTTAGTGAGCTCCCACAGGGGTAGCTCCGCTCAGCTACAAGCCAGGCTGACAGTTGCAAGCGCAGTAGCGGTGGGGGGTGGGGTGGGGCAGCCTCTCCCGCCTCTGCAGCAGCACTAAAGATGTCTGACTGCAGCTTAGGCCCGATCCCCCAGGGAGCAGGCCTAAGCTGGCAGGTGGACATCCCCCAAGGGCTCCTGGACTGTGAGAGGGCACAGGCTAGACTGAGAGACCCCCCCCCCCCTGAGTGCACGAATTTTTGTTCACTGGGCCTCTAGTTAATAATAATAACACAAAGTCCTTCTAAGCAAGGAAGCCTGTTTTTCCAGGATTGGTCACAAGAGGGCACCATCTCCCTTGCCCAAGTCTTGTCCTGGTGGCCACTCTCCCAGGAGGGATCTGGTGCTGGCCTCCCTCACTGCTGCAGAGCCTGGGCCTAGTCCTGGGGATCTGTCACTGGAATAGTCTTGGGGTGCCAGTTCCTTCTCCGCATGGGACGGAGGCCCATGGCACAGCATTTAGGAATGTGTTACTCCTTTAGGGCTGTGCTGAGAAATGGTCTCAGCGCTGACATTCTGCAAAGGCAGTGACGAAGCTCAGACTGGTGCGTGCCAAGGAGTCTGTCCTCACAACCACACCCTCACGGACCTCGGAGTCCTCAGTGGTGAAGTGCAGGCACAGGTGTCCTCTCAGCTTGTTCTGGGGCGCGAAGGAGGACGTGGGGAGCTGGGGAATCCGGGTACCGTCCTGTAAGAGGTTGTCAGGCTGTTGGGTTTTTCCTGGAAATGTAGCAGAACTTGGAGGATCCTGCCAGAGGTGGGGGACCTGTGTTTAAAATGTCCCCACGTGTTGGCCATGATGCCTATGGGACAGCTGAAGTCCAGAGTTCACTCTGAACCCTGATAGCCATGTGGGGTGTGATTTCAGAATCTCTTATGTAACCTGGTCAGTCACACCTTTGGGACTGAAGGTGAGCGGCTGCTGTGTGGCTGGGCCCTGTGTGCTCCTGGCTCTTACCTGGGTCCCACCCTAGTGGACCGTACCTCCCTTCTCTAACCCTCCATAGCGGGTATTCCCAGACTTGTCATGGCAGCTCCCTGGGGCTTCCGACTCCCCCGTGTGGGTCGTGATTGCTGTCTGTGCTGGTCTCTGGAAAGTCTAGCAACGTGAAGGCACCCGGGGTTCCCTGGGGGGCGGGGGGCTGTTATGCGCTAAGTTGGGACCCCCCCACAAATTATTCATGTTGAAGTCCTAACGCCCAGCACCTCAGCATGTGACTGTATTTGGAGACAGGGTCTTTGAAGAGATAATGAAGGTTGAATGAGGTCACTAGCGTGGGGCCTAGTCCAATGTGACTCGCGTACTTATGGGAAGAGATTAGGACACAGACACGCAGAGTGAAGACACAGGGAGAAGACAGCCATCTACAAGCCAAAGAGAGTGGCCTCAGGAGAAACCAACCCTGAGACCCTGGATCCTATTCTTCCAGCCTCCAGAACTCAGAGGAAGTAAATTTCTATGGCTTAAGCTGCCAGTCTGTGCCACCAGTTATGACAGTCCTAGCAAACTAAAGTGGACAGACAGGTTCATTCCCTGCTCCCCCCCCCCACCCCCAGTTCCCTCCCTCTACCACGTTCCCAGGAAGAAACAGGACACAAGTCAAGATCCAGCACTTTATTACAGTCACAAAGCACAGGAGAGACCACTTGGGTCTCACTGAAGTCTTGTTTCCCCCCTTTCCCCAGAGGAAGTCATGGGGGGGGGGGGACAGCCCCGCCCACCGGGCCAGGCCAGTGGGAGGAAGGGGACAAGGGCAGGTTAACAGCATAAACACAGACTTGGTTTGGTTCCAGTTTCATGACTTACAAGCTGTGTGATTTTTAGGCAAGCCTCTTAGTCTCTCTGAGTCTTGGCTTATTCCTCATCTGTGAAACGGAGAAGTGATAGGACCTACCTCCCTGGGTTGTTGTGAGGATTGAATGCAATAACACCCGTGACGTGTTTAGCACAGTGTCTGGAAAATTGTATGTAGTCACTGAGTGGAACTGTTATTATTGTTATTAGGACCAAGCGGACTAAGTCATATTTCTTCATGGTCAGGCCAGCTCTAATCTCTGTGTTTGAGGGAAATGCCTTCAGTGAGGCCTGTTAGAATGACAGCCTGTGACACATGTGGAAGCCACCTGATACCTGGGAATACGGGGATCAGACCCCAAACTTGAGGATTCTGGGGCCGTAGAACCTACTGTCTCTACCAACCCCATGAAAAGCACCAGGAAGGGTTTGCGAAAAGTTCTATGTTTGTGCCTGGACCATTTCCAGTCTTTGGCATTCAGTCATTAGCATACCATATGTCTACTCACAAAGTCTTTTTTTTGTGTCTTGTAGTTTTTGCTTTTGGCTAAGGAATTGCCATAGGCTACTGCACTTGGAATCAATTCCTGGCTCTGCCTTTTGTTATCTGGGCAACCTTGGGCTGGTCACTGCACCTTTCTGAGCCTCACTAGTTACATAACTTCAGGGAGCTTGGAAGGAGAAGCCAGGGTATGGAAGTAAAAGTGCACTGTTGATGGAAGCATCCTTGGTAATGAGATGATGGATGGGGCCACAGTGGTCATTGGTTAGTGGGGAGGAGTCTCAGGTCACTGGCGAGTGGGGCGGAGTCTCAGCACGTGCCTGCCTGTGTGAGTGGTTGTGTGCGCGTGCAGAAGCCCAGTATTCCGGGAGTGGGTAGAGGCAGGCATCACCACAAGAGGGTGCTCTGAGCTTTGTCTTCTCTACCTTGAAAAAATTATCCTTTTTCTATGGCTGATTCCAAAGTGATCTAAGACTCGTGCTTTTTAGTTTACCTAACTGATTTAATAAACTTTACAAATAAATTGATGTGCATTTATTAGTTTATCAATAAGTGGATACGATACTGTGTCCCTACCATCGGCATGCTGGGAAGTGGGGCGAGGGTGGGTGGAGACAGGAAGAAACTGGTGCCTTATGGTGTCCCGGCTCCACCACTGCTCAGCTGAGTGCCTGCAGGAATTTCCCAAGAGTGCCACAGTGGTGAAGTTCCCACATCCAGCCTCAAAGGGATGTTGCGAAATGGACCAAATGGAAAGAAAAGCAACTTAAAGGTCAAGAACACAGTCGCAAGCCCTCTTACCTCCAGTGCAGGCCTCCACTTGACCCGCATGCCGTGCTGCAGCCGAGGCCCCCGGGGGCAACTCTGGGATGGGAAGGAGGCGAATCCAGCTGTTAAGCCATGACCTCAAGAACAGTATTTCCAGGAATCCCCATCTTAGCATCTAAGGGATTCCTGGGAAAACTGGACCGTGAGGACAAGGTGAGAGTGCGGCCTTCAGCACCAAGGCCCTGCCACGCCCCTACGGGACCACCGGGAGTTTCTTCTGCATCCAGTCAGTCTGCAGAAGCCAGCGTGGGCGCGCCATGTATTGCAGGATGTGGCTCCGGGTGGCGTAGTGACTGGAACTTCAAGTGGCCTGGAAAGTACTTTCCCGGAGGTCAAAGGCCACGTTCTTGACCAGCATCCATCCAGCAAGCTGGCCCCCCTTCCCAGGACAGCCATGAGTTGTGTGCATTCCTGAGACTCCAGCCAGAGGGAGGGTTTTACTCTAAACTAAACCAACCGGGCAGATCCGGTCCCTGGTCTCTGGCAACTTCCTCCATGGTGACCTCCAGCAAGTCACTTAACCTCGGCTTTCCTCAACTGTAAAATGGGATAGTAGAGGACCTATCGGATTAGGGGAGATAAATATAATTTAGAGGGTGGAGGCTAGGAAGAAGGGAATTGCTAGGATTGATGGAAAGTGTCTGGGTCTGTCTTTGCTAAAAGTGACCCAAGATGTAAGGACAAGACCAGAGCAGGGTTTATTATGTTCACCTTCAGGTCCCCGATCCCCAGGTTTCAATGTCACCTGCACTGGGTAACAATACAGATCTGAAACCAGACAGATTAGGCTACAATCCTGGCTCAACACAATCAAGGTGTGACCTTGGGCAAATTAGTTAACTAAAGCCTTAGTTTTCTCATCTGTAAAATGGGTCAATAACAGTATCCACCTCCCAAGCTTATTGGAAGGGTAAATAAAATTGTGCTTAGCCCAGTGATTTTCCTCTGCTGTTCCTTGCTTGTCTGAAGCCTCTAGGAGCCGGCAGGCATTTGTGAGATGTTTGGATTGGTTTTAGTCAATAGCCTGGGGCAAGGTTAGCAGCTCCAAGAGAGAAGAGCCTGGCTCAAAGCTCAAGACTTCATCTTTAGGACTGAAAGATTTTGTCCAACCCACAAACGATGGATGGGTTTCAGCTCTGAATCCCTGATGGGACTTGGTGTTGAGAAGGATTCTGAAGCTGCATCTGAGCGCTTCAAGAATGGACGCCTTGACAGATTAGCGGGGTCCACCACGGCTCAGAAAAAGCAGAGTCAGGGTGCAGGGTAGTGGCCACACTAAAAGCTCCAACCACTCATCTTACAATGGACAGACTATGGGGCTTAGAGCAGCCAGGACTTGCCCAGAATCATGAAGCAGATGGTGGCATGGGTGAGACTTGGGTCCAGAAACTTCCTCAGCACAAGCTGCTGACAGTCTGGAGACCGGAAGTGTCCTGCCCTTCCTGGTGCCCCCAACACCAGCACTTACCGCTTCTGGCAGGTGTCCGCAGAACAACTTCTCCCTTCCTGAGCTACAGTGCTTCATCTCAGACTCCCAACTGACCAGAGATGCAGCACTGCACCTCAGGCTGGGAGACAGGCCGGCCTGCACAGGGAGGCTGCGGGCAGGGAGGCCGGGAGGGGGCCTCTGCTCCACCAGCTCCGCCCCTCAGGCGACTGTACCCCACCTCTCCTTGGCCTGGCATTTGAACCCTCTGGGACCAAATCTCAACTTTCCTTTTATTTATTTATCTTTTTAAAGAGCTTTATGGCAATGAGGTCCTCTCTCCCCTTTAAAGTGTACAATGAAATGGGTTAATACATCCACAAAGTTGCACAACCATCGCCACAATCAATTTGAGGATATTTCATCCCTCCAAAAAGAAACCTCTTACCACACAGCCCCTCCCACCCGCATCCGCCCCAGCCCTGGGCAGACCACCTTCTGTCTCTCTAGAGCTGCCTATTCTAGACATTTCAATAAATGGAGTCTCCCAATATGTTGACCCCATGCCCCTCCTTTGTGCTCAGTGTGTCCCAGCCAAACAGCACAGTCCTGGAATCTGACATTTTGCACCACCCAACACCTGCCATGGCCCCTGCCTGCTCTCCCTGCTTCTACCCCCAACACCCAGACTTCCCACCCACCCTTCCCTGCCATCGACCCACAGTGATTTCTCAAAATGCAAACATGGTCCTATCTCTCCCCTCCTTAAATCCTGAAAGGGCTCCCACTGCTCTCCGGCTAGACCCTGAAACCTTCACCAAAGGCTATGGCGCCCGCCCCATCTTCCTCTTGGGCCTCTCCTCCAGGGAGCCCTGCACCTGCCACCTCAGGCTCCCAGCTGCCATGCCACTCCCCTGCCCATCTGCTCTTCATGGGCTTGGTGTCTACTCAAACGGCCACTTCTTCAGGGACGCGCTCCCTGCCTTTCTCAGACATCAGGATACCCGGGGCATGTCCTCAAACATCCTGTGCCCTTTTCCTAATCCTTTGCCACAGTCTCGTTTAAGACCACCTGCACGCATGGGCTGCAGCCCTCCGTGAGGGAAGGGGCCCTGCCTACTGTACTCACCACGGAGAGCAGGCTCGGGCAGTGGAGACCCCACAGCATCGGCTGAATGGCTGCATCCTGTTCCTCAATCTCATTCTCTCTGCTGTCAGGGCCGTTTGCATCTCGGTGGAACTGCACTGGATTTCCAGTTCCCTGAGGACAACACCCACCTCTTGTTAATGCCGGGGTGTCCTGGGTTCTCTTGGGGCCTTTGTACATGATGACGGGCCCAGGGAATGAATGTCACCCAGTGGATGATTGAATGGTGTGTCGGTAATTCATTTTCCTCTTTAGACCTGGCTTGGGTGGGAACATCTGAGGGAGCAGGCAGAGCCCCCCTGCACTCCTCCTGTCCCCCAAGATCTCAGGGCACCCTGGGAGTATCCTCCTTCTTTTTTGGATGCCCACTGTGGTGGCCTTGATGCCAGATAACATATCTGTTCAGGGATATCTAAAGGGCAAAGGGGGGTGGGCAACCCTTTCTCAGGGCTGGAACTGAGCAGGAAAAACACAGTTGATACTAAAACGCGTCTCCGATGCTCCTAGCAGAAATCTGAAATCAGGCCCCTATCCAAAGAGTCTTCTCCCTGCTCTGACATGTGGGGTAGGTCGGTCCCGATGCCCCCCTGAGCAGGCAGCCCCTTCCTGTACAGCCAGAGAACTGCCTGCCTCTCAGATGGAATCCTTGTAGGAACTCTTGGCAAACCACGTTGGTCTGGGGAGGGATTCCAACACCAGGACCAGCCTTGGGGGGCCTGGGCAGCCCACAGCCCATCCACTCCTCTCTCCGCTGCTCCCGCCAGCCCCGCTCGCCTGACTCATGTGGAGGCTTCAGTGAGGAGTCAGGGAGGGTTGTTCCAAAAAAGGGATCACCTGCTGCCTGGAACCAAGCAGATGAACCAGCCCCTGCACCCAGTGGGTGCCCAGGTTTCCCCAAAGCCCTTTCACCAAAACCAGCTTTGACTTCTGGGTGCAGCACAGGGAGTGAACCGTTTGGGGAGAGTCTGTGGCCTCGGCACTCAGTAGCTGTGGAAGACAGAGTGATCACGTCTGTCCATCCGCTCTCAGTCCTGTCTACCAGGAGGGGAAGCGGCGGCTGGGCGCTCGCCTGTCTGCCTCTTTCCTAGCGCCTGCTTATCAGCCTCAGGCCCAGGGCCTCGCAAGCCAGGGCACCGGGTGGAGTGTGATAACACCGTTTCATTTTCACTGTCTGTGTTCTGACCCTCACCTCCCAATTCTGGTCAGTGTTACAGTTTTCCATTTTTCGTGACTAGATTTAGATATTAACAACGACATCTTAAATTTGAAAATATTATGATTGTAAAAATTTTTAAAAAGGGCACCTGAGTGACTGCAATCTGGGCCACATTTAATCTTCAGAACGGCTGATGGGGCCGGCGAGGTGATGGTATCACCTCCGCGTGGAGGACCCAGAAGTGGAGGAGACGGGTTCTAGGCCATAGCCCAGCTTGAAGGGGGTGGGGGTGCCGAGGGCTATTTCCAGCACATCCCACTGTCCCACTGGGCTCAGATTGTTGCCGAAAAATAGCAGCTCTCCTGGGTGTAGAAACAGGAAGTAGATGGGGCAGTCCCACGCTCCTGGGGGAGTACCGCTGACGCAGGGACAGGGGTTTGAGGCACAGCCTCTGACCAGGGGAGGGGTGTTGCCGCCATTTCCTCCGTGGCGATAAGCTGCCTAGTTGTTTCTTTATATCTAGAAAAATCGTAAGGGTGCGGACTGTGCTAAGAACAGCCATTTACTGAATGTTTTAATTGGGCCGATCCCCGTGCATCCCCAAGGCTCCGTGGGATGGGACTTTTCTGAGGGCAGGGAGCGAGGTGCCGAGCTGGGATTCCTCACTCGGAGCAGCTGGCCCAGGGCCCCCATTTCAACCTCTTTGCTCAATGTCTCACCCCCTGACCGACCCTTTGGGTTAGAGACAGTCTAACCATGTCACCTGTCCATCCGGCAAACCGAGTCCATCTTCCAAGGGGGAGACGGGACTGAACTTGATGTCATCCTTGCCCTGGAGGAGTGCCTGCGGGTGGAAATGGAAGGAAAATGCAAGGCAAATAGGGGACAGACCCCAGTGGCACATGAGCCCCAGAAAGGACTGCCAAGGGCTCAGAGGACAGAGAGGTTCCTGGCCCTGGGGGAAGCTGGGAGGGTTTCCTGGAGGAAGAGGAGGTGAGGCTGGGCTGGGAGGGCCTGGCTCTCTGGCCCCTGGAACTCTTCCCTTGACTCTTGTGTGTCTTCCCGGCTGGCAGACAGCACTGGCCTGATCGAGAAGGAGGCCGGTAGCCCTCCTATGTCACTTTCCCCGCAAGAGGCTCTGGGTCCCTAGTCAGGGGACAGGGGGCCACTTGGGAATTCCGGTTCTATCACCAACTGGCTCAGTCACTTCTCACAGGCAGGTCTCCTCTCTGCAGCTGTTTCCCCTTCTGTCAAAGGAGGCATTTGAATAGGTGACCTCAGAATCTTACCTGGTGCTGGCCCTTGGCAGTCTGGGGGGTTGCTCCAAGGATGAGCCGTTTCTCCTTCCTGCTCCCCACTGTCTTCAGGAAATGTCGCGGAGCCTGGGGTAACCTCTGTCTTCTGTCGGGAAGCTCCTGGGAGGCTGGGAAGGAGAAAATAAACAGTGGCTGTCTGGGTTTTCTCGCCAGGCCTGAGCCAGGAGGCCTCCCTGGCTCCTTCCCTTATATGGCCAGGCCGTTCTGGGCTGGGAGCCTGCCTCTGCGCTCCCCCACCCTCCACCACCACTGAGGGCTGGGGGCCCGCTGGTCACCTGGGACTCTGGGGCTGCAGAGGCCGGGGCAGGACTGCGGGTGGAGGTGGGACTCAGGACATGTTCCCATAGTCACCTGTGCAACTTGGCCCCCTGTGGCCTCTGGGCTGTGTGAGATGGACCAGGTGGGAGGATTTATGGAGGGACAAAGGGTGGAGAGGAGGGAATCCACCTGGTTCTGACTTAACCTCGAACTCACCGCGTGACCCTGGCCAAGCCCCTTCCTCTCCTGGCCTGTTTCTCCCTGTGTCAATTGAGGGCATAGAAAATCCTAATTAATCCTCACAGTCAGCCCCATCGGGTGGGAGCTTTTGTTTCCCTATTTCACAGAAGGGAAACAGGCTTGGAGAGGCTAATGGACCACAGCTATCCAGCAAAAAGGGAGCAAAGCTGGATTTGAACTTGGGGCATCTGACTTCAGGGTCTGTGCTCTGAATGGGAGGATTGCTAAGGCTCCTCTTGGTGATAATATCCAACCACTCACATGTGCCATATGGAAAGGGGATTCTGCTGCAGCTGGTCCCTCGAAGACCAGGGAGGCCCCAATGCCCAATGACCAGCCCAGAGGACACTGTTTCGTTAAACAATGGGGGCAGAGGCTCTAAGACATCCATCTTGGTGTCCCCAGTACCCCACACAGGGCCTGGTGCAGACTCAGGGCTCAGGAAAGGGGAGTTGTGGAATCACTGACTAAATGAACCTCAGTAGGTTCACAAGTTCCTTCTTCCCTCTCAAGTGCCTGCCTGTGTCTCAGCCTCAGGCCATTGTCTCCTGAGCTGGATTGACAGGGTCCAGTCTTGCTCAGGTCAGCTGTGGGACCGAGATGAGGGTGGTTCCGCTCAGGGCTGGGCTCCAGCTGCAGTGACCGTGGGAGAGGCTGCAGGAGGGGAGGGCAGGCCGGGAGGTGGGGGTGGGGCTGGGTTGCTGGGAACAGCTCAGAAATGAGCCTCGCACAAGCACTAACATCCTGTGTGCTCTTGAGCTGGCCCTGGAACCTCCCTTGGCCCATCCATCATCGTGGCATCCGTTCGGACCCTGGCCCTCTTCCTGGGGCCCGGGGGCGGGTCGAGGGGGGCTGGGGACTGACTGTCAGTGTGGCCGAGACACCGCAGCTGGCAGCTCTGCAGGCCTGCTCAGTGTCTGAGCGGGACAGTCTCGGGAGGAGGCGCCTGGAGCCCTCCTAATCCAATTTGTTTAGACCCAGTCTCCGAGGCTCGCTGGCTAGTGAGAGGGGGCTGGGTGTGTGCGCTGTGCCGGGGTGCACGTTTGCACACACGTGTGGGGCGTGCAGAAGTGAACAGGTGTGCTGCGTTATGTAAGCCAGGCCTGGGCCTTGTCACATGTCCCCGGAATGTCAGCTCCTGGCCTCCTCCGCTCACCTCCAAGTCTTCCTCCACTTTTTCCATTCTTACGCCAGCTGGTGCCAGAAGCCCCCTCTGCAACTGACTGACTGTGCCATTCTAAGTGAGTTCCTTCACCTCCCTGGGCCTCAGTGTCTCCATCTGTCTTATGGAGCCAGTGGGTCACCCTGCCTGCTCCACGTGCAGGGTACTAAGAACTGGCAGACATGGGAAGAACAGGATGGGCGGTAAAAACAGCTGCTATGGTAGCTTGATGTCCACCTGTGCCAAGCACTGCGCTCCGGGGCACACACCTGACCGCGCGGACCCTGTCAGAGCCCCTCAGGCTGGCTCTGTCATCACCAGGCTTCCTACCCCAGCTCTACCTGTTTCTAGAGTCCAACCTGTTTACTCCTTTCCCGGGAAGACTGGCGTGGTTGCCCGCATTTCCCGAGTCCTGTGGTCTCTGGAGGGCGCAGGGCATGGGGTGGGGTGGGTATCTGGACTCTGGTTGTTTCCTCCTTTGGTCTCACTTGTTTCACCTTCATCCCAGACCCAACAGCCCCAAATTGCCTGCACCCCATCCATCAGCAGGGGCCCTCCACCCACTCCGCCCATCTGAGGCCTGGTTTCTCGGTCATTCTGAGGGTTGGGGTGGGGAGGGTACCCCGTGGACCCGGGTTACCACAGGAGCCGCCATGCGGGGGGGTGGGGGGGGTGGTGAGGTGTGGAGCGAGGTGGGTGCTGGCGAGTGGGATGGGGAGCACTTACAGTTCCGTTTCCAGGGTCCCTGTTGCCTGGTCCTCAGGAGGCCCCTCTGGGGTGCTTGCTCCTCCATCCATCATTGTAGGGGTGGTTCCTGCCAGTGCCCTCTCCTGGAACGAATAAAGATACCGCCTGTCAGGAGATGTAGGGTGCCCTGTGGCCTTTGCAGGTTCTGCCCAGGCTGCCAGCTCCGGGGGCTGAGGATGGATCTGGGTTGCTGCTGGGTCTTTGGAAGCCTCGGGCTGAACCTGCTGAGATTTTCCTGGCTTCAAAGAGCCGGCTTCTCAGGCCCTAGGCAGCTGCTATTCCTGCTTCGCCTGCCTGGCTTTCCAAAGGAGTCGTCTGAGCCGCTCCAACCTCTATGAGATGGAGGGCCGGGGCGGGGGGGTGGGGGGAGAGGGGAGGCTCCCAGCTCTGAGCACACTCAGGCCGCATCAGTGAAAGAACAGGTGTGGAAGGAAATTTCCCAGAGGCCCCTCAGATCCCACCTCCAGCCTCACACATTGGGAAAGAGCCATTAAGGGGTAGATCAAAACCTGGGGTTAACACCGTGGCCAGGAGCGAAGGGACAGCCCTGGGCCCACCTGGGACCGTTTCCAGCTGCACCAGGTTTTCAGCCTGCAAAGGGCTCCCTCCCCCGACTCAAGGAACACTCACAACCACCCCGTGGAAGAATCGCCTGCCTCCGCTTGCTGAGCTTCAAAGAGGCTCTCCTAGGAGCCCAGGGTCACCCACTGGGGAGTGTCAGAGGCCAGCTTGAGCCCAGGGCTGCTCCTGCTCGATCCAGCTGTCTCCTGAACTTGGGCAGCAGCTGGCTAGATGACCACCAAACAAAGCTCACGTCATTACGGTCATTGCAAAAGCCCCTGTGCCCTTTCCTGGCCTCGCTTATTTCCAAGAAACACAAGGTACCGAGACTGGGCCACATCTGTGAGCCAGATGGCACGGCAGCGGGAGGGAGCTGATGTTGGGGCTCTGTGCCGGCGCACGAACCCAACCCACACTGGTTCTTTCAGGAGGACCCCTTCCTCGGCTCCCTGAAGCATGTGCACGTAGGACAGCTGCTGTTCTCCTTGGGCTCCAGGGTTTCCACCTTGTTTGGAAAGAAGAGAAAGGACACAGGCCCTGGAGCTAGGCAGACCTGCACCGGACTCTCGCCCTAACACTCTCTAGCTGTGTGATCTAGGGCTGGTGGCTTCACCTCTCTGAACCCTGGCTTCCAACCTCCCAGTTGTTTGTGAAGGTGGAATGTCAAGTGCAAGCACAGCTGCTGGCACGTAGTAAGCCCTCAAGAAGTGGCTGCCATTTCCACTATGAGCATGGGGCCGGCCCCACAGTGAGGCCCAGGCACGGAGGAGACGAAGCAAGAAGGATGAGGCAAAGGCCCAAAGTGGTACCCAGAGAAGACTGGGAAGCTTTGGTGGGGAGCCACCATGTGGGGCCCTTTTCATGTCGCCTCTGTGTGGGCTGCTCTGGGCTTCTGTCCCAGAGTGCCCTCCCATCCCCTCGACACCCCAGCTGAGTTCACCAGCCTCACACGCTCCCTATTTCCTCCCCAGGGAAGGTCGCTGCCTGGGGACTTTGGAGCAAGCCCTGGGAACGCAGTTTGAGGCGGAAACAAGAATGATGCAGGAAAAAGGGAAGAAAGGGGCCCAGACCTGCCTGGCCTAGAATCCCAAGCCCTCCGGGAGTAGCTGGGGCTCTGGGAGGGCAGGGGGTAGAGAACAACATCCCCATGACTCTGACCTTGTAGTGAGAAGTTCTCCCCTCTGTCCTGCCCTCTGTCCTGCCCACTTTGCAAAGAACTGGGAGTTCCAGGGCTCCAGTTTACTGGGACTGGGCCATGCCTTTCAGATAACACAAAAGTTGGTTTCTCTTGGAACGTGTTGGATGGGAAGAGCAGCAGGTTAGGTACCAGGTCTCCTGTAGATGTGCTGTGTAATTGCAGGCAAGTGCCTTTCCCTCTCTGGGCCTCATCATGATGGTGGGGAGAGGACTGGACTCCATGGTATCCAGAGTCCTCCGAGCGTCAGATAAGTGGGGATGGTTGGACCCCACGCTGTCCCCCTGGTGTAAGTGTCAGTGTGAAGGAAGGCGAATGGTCTGCATAGGTCTGCACAGAGAGAGAGACACTGGGCAGCAAGTACTGAGGCTGGAGCTCCCCTAGCTGCCTTTGACTTCCTTTGCCCCGCTTCCAGCCTACTGCTCAGCCCAAAGCAGCCCCAGTGACCTGGATCAGGTGGATTTTCTACATCAGGACTTGAAGCCTCAGAGCATGAGTGCTGGTTTCACCCCCATTGTTCAGATGAGGAGACTGAGGCATGGAGAGCAGATGCAGTCAGTTGGGGGCCCCGCTAGGACTGACCCCTTCTACTCACTGAGGGATCCTAATGGTTCAGATCTTAACAAAGGGGCCTCACAGGAAGGAGGGAGAGAGGAGAGCCTTTAAGTTCCTTTGGCTTTGAACATGGAATAATCATGACTTCCTTTTCCAAATATCTTTTGGCCCTTCCTAGAACCAGATGGCGGATGTTTGGAATTTATGTTGTAAATAGTGTTTAAGAAGGCGGGGGGGGGGGG